TAGGCCAACTGGCTAAAGAATTTTCTAAATTTGGGGACTTTAAGGGAAGTAGTGGATTGAAAGTAAATCAGAGGAAGGAAAAGTATAGAAAGAGAGGTGACCGAGACACCCCACCATTACCACCACTGCCACCACCAACAGTAACAAGCATAAGCTGGGGTATATAAAAAGGGGAACTTAAATCAACAGAAACAGGTTGAGAGGAAGGGAAGAGATGGGAAGGAATGCAAAGCAGGAAGAATGAGAGAACAAAGGCACCACGGTTTTTTTAATTGACCAAAGATGAAAAACACTTAAAAATGACAAACATCATCTTCCATTTCCAGATTCAGTTCTGAGGTCTCCCTTCTCTGCCCTCTGTGCTTTCAGAAGGAAGTGCTCAATCCACAGTATCCCCAGGACACACTTAACACTGTGAGCTTGCCCTCATCAGGGCATTAGAAAGTTCTAACAGACCAAACTCTACGCCCATTTACAGTCAACCTCGAGGGCTGGCCCGGGGCCTTCGAGTTTAAGAGGAAGAAGAACAGCCAAGTTATGAGAGATTGTTGTTATTGTTAGGTGTTAAGTTTCAACTCAGATTCCATGTGACACAGTACAGCTGCCCCATAGGGAGCAGGGGACAACAAATTGCCCAGTCTTTCTCCTGCAGAGCCACTGGATAGGCTTGAATCACCAGCCCTTTGGTTAGCAGCGCCTAATGCTTAACCATTGCACCAAGACTATAAGATATAGTGAATGTTTATTCATTCATTCATTTATTCAAAATATTATCTAAGCGTCAATTAGGTCCCTAAGAAAACATTAGCCACCATTTAATGATTTCTTTTCCCATCTTTACACATGTTCTCACATGCATTCATGTTCAGTCCACAGCTGTTTAATTCATTAGTGCATCCACAGGTCTAGAATCTAGCTTTGGTGGCATGGTGATAAGGCATTTGACTGCTAACCAGAAGGTCAGCAGTTCAAATCCACCAGCTGCTCTGCAGAAAGACAGAGATCTACTTCCGTAAAGATTCACAGCCTCGGAAACTGAAACGGGAGTCACGATGAGTCGAGTTGGAAACGATGCAATGGCAGTGAGTTTGGGTGTTTTTTTTTTTTTGGTTTCCACAGGTCTAGCCCAGTGCACATTTAATTCTCACGAGAAACCTATAAATATTATTGCCTCATTTTACAGATGAGGAAACTGAGCCTCAAAGAGGTGGCTTACCCCAAGGTCAAATAGCTAGTAGTTAAAATTCAAACCTGGACCTTTCACCTGATTACCCACTGAACTACACTAACCAGCTCTCTGATGACTTCATCCCCCAGCCTCTCGAAAGTGTAATGCCCAGAGCGGACATGGAGGTTGAGACAGAGTGGAAGTCCAGGAAGTGAGCATTTCGGAAGAAAAGCTCACCCAATAAAAAGTCCCTCCTGGAGAGCAAGCAGGGATTTCCATAATCACCTGAGAGAGGGGGAGGGCAGGTGCCGGGCTAGCCGCAGGGAAGGAGTAGCAGCCAGTCTTCCTTAAATGGTTGTGCAGGGCCCAGCCTTAGCACTTTCCTGCTGCCACTCCTCTGGAGACACAAAGGCAGGTGTAAGAGGAGTGCCAATTAGTCTCTTTGCCCAGTGAGCTCTGCATCAACCCTTGTCACAGACATGAGTAATTGGGGAATGACGTTTTAGGGGTGGGGGAGTGGTATCTGATGATGTAAGGTACTCCTCAAACAGTTTATCTGTATTTGCTTTTATTAAAGCTCAGTTTAATTAGGGGCCTGCCTACTGTTTCTATCACCTTTCAGCACACCTTTTTGGTTAGGAGAGAAATGGGTGTATTTAAGCCCCATGGGTAGGAGCCTGTGAGCTATGTCAATTCATCAAGCAGCTCAAACTCAAGATACAGGCCATTTGTCCAACACCATATTGTAGTGGAAGTAAACAAGGAAACCACTAGTTTCAAAGCCTACCTGCTTATCTTTTTCTACCCCGCCTCCAATCAACTCAAAACTGTGTACACTAAGCCAATACTTCTGAGATTCCAAACTGTTCAATTCCCTGGCTTTCTCAAGCTTGTCTGTGCTAAGAAAAAGAAGGAAAAACAATCAGAAGCTCTGAAGAACTAATTTACAGTTAGTATTTCAACATTCTCCATTCTCAAGCCTGGAGAGAAACTAAAGAAGTAAACACCAGGCTGAGATCATGGGGTCATCCATCTCACAGGACACAGGAATGACCCCAATGTAGCACCTCACTCTCCAGGAGTTTAGTCAAAAAGTGATAGGTTGCTTGTTTTCAAACTCCCACAAGGCTAGTTCTCCACAAAGCCAATGTTTCAGCCTCGTGCTACTGTCACATCCCTCCATTTCCCTGGAGTGAGGCCACCTTCCTAAATCCAAGGTGTGGTTTTCAATCATAAAGTTAGTTCCCAGAGGTCTAATATGTCTTTTACCAAGGGGAACTTCTGTCCTGGGGCAATTTCACACTAGAGTGATACAAGGAGACTTCCCAGACCAAAAAGGCCAAAAAAAAGTCAAACATCAGGAAATCTGTTGAGGGGAGGTGGAGTCTGAGGACATAAAGGGAACTGGAACCAGCCTCTCAAGAAGCCTGTGGGATGTGCGGTGGAAGCTGCCTCTATCACCAAAACCACCAGCCAGAGGCCCTACTCTTTACCTCCCACTGTGTCCATCGCTTTGTCCACCACTAAGCCATCCCCATCACCAACACCTCCTCAAAGATATCCCATCCTATCAACCCCTCTGCTCTCCAGGGGCACACAGGGAGGACACAGTCTACTTCATCAAGGTCACAAATCCTCCAAACACCTTTTTGTTTGGATTAGTAAAGAAAAAGAGAAGGGAGGATGAGGAAGAGAAAGATCAGCTTGAATCCTTGAGCAGATTACTGAATCTCTGCCTTCAACTGCTGCAAAAAGAAATCATCATGGTGTCTACCCTCAATGGTTGTTATGAATATAAATAAGATAAAGTAGGTGAAGCACTTGCCCCAGAATCTCGTTCAAAAGCAAACAATATAAAGAGACTGCTACTGATAATGATAATAATTATATCATTATGAATATATAAAGGAGCTCTGGTGGCATGGTGCTTAAGGCATTTGACTAACCAGAAGGCTGCTGGTTCCAACCCACCAGCCACTCCTCGGAAGGAAGACTAGGCAATCTACTTCCTAAGAGATACTGTAGAGATACCGCCTCAGAAACCCAAGGAGGGGTCTCTATGAGTTGAAAGCGACCTGAGGGCTGTCAGTTTGGTTTTGGTTTTATGAATATATAATAGTATTTGTCACACACTAAGTGTTTAGAAGGAGAAAATGAAAACCAGACTAACCTACCCTTTGTTGTTGTTATTATGTGCCCCCTCCTTGGGTTTCTGAGGCAGTATCACTACAGAAGTACATTGCCCAACCTTCCTTCCAAGGAGTGGCTGGTGGGCTTGAACCGCCAGCCTTCTGGTTAGCAGTCACATGCCTTAGGCACTATGCTACCAGAGCTCCCCTCTACTAAAATATCACAAGCACCTAATTGGCCATGTGTGACAGTACCCCAGATAAGGGGGCCCTGAGACATTCTCAGCAATCTGCTAGAATGCGAAATACTGAGAGCAGGGCTGGGAATGTCCCTGTCCCCACATCTTCTTAATTTGCTCTCCCAGTGCCCAGCACAGGACTGGGTAAAATATCAAGTAGAGAGTGGCTGACGAATGGTTGATCCTCTGCAACATCAGTCATATAACACTTCCTTTCTGACCCAATAGAAAGCTCTAAACAACAGTCTCAGAAAAGCAAATATGTTGAATCAATCACACCACAGTTTCTTTGGGGGAAAAAATGCTGTTCGCTGTTGGATCAACTTCTGAAGTTCAAAAAAAAAAGAAAGAAATTTCAAGACAGCAGTGCAATTGCTGCAAATTTTTTTGCATGGCCAAAGACTGGAAGAATAAACACAGTGGATGCCTCAGGCGAATTGTGGGTGCTTTCTCTTTTTAAAAAGTGTTTCCTTCATTGTTCTAGTCACCCAATCAAGTAACATCATGAGGGAGGAGAAAGTTGTCTGATAAGAAACAAGCACCCGAGATTCAGCGAAACCAGAAGAGAAACCAACTCCTTCCCTGTATCCAGCACCTGGGCAACAGTGAGGTGAAACAAAGCAAACTCTAGAAGCCAGATCATCTCAGCGATAGGGCCCAGAACTACATTGGGCATTTGCGTGCATTCTCATCCCCTGAGTCAGAGCTACCAAACTTATATACATATAAAAAAAAGCCATTATTCCTTAGGGGACTAGTGCCAGTATCGAAATGTTTTCATCTCCATAAGCAAAAGCCACAGCCCTGACAACCAAGAGGGTTCCTCCTCAGTCACCCCAGAGATGGCTGCAGAGCTGTGCCTACTAGGAGTCAGATTCCAACTCCAATTCCTGCTCCACTGACCCTGGGCAAGCGGGCTTCACCTCTCTGAGCCGCCTCTGGTCATCTGTAAAACGGGAATATCCCCACCTTCCCACCTAGCAGGTGTGTCTAAAATGCTCAGGACATGAGACACACCAAAGGCTTCTAATTAAGTGGCTCCCATCCCTTTCATAACATAGTTAGACAGGGCACCCTCCTTCAACCATATGGTAAAAGTTTCGATCCATAAATCTGTGTAAATGCTAACACAGTATCTTTTGAGCCAAGGAGCCCAGGTGGCGCAGTGGTTAAAGCATTTGACTGCTAACAAAAAGGTTGGCATTTCGAACCCACCCTCAGCCCAAATCCCCCAGGCACTGAGCGGAAGAAAGAAGTGGCAGTCTGCGTGGAAATTTACAGCCTTGGAAAGCTTATGCGGCAATTGTACTCTCTCCCATAGAGTTGCTGAGGCCAACTCGACAGCAGTGGGCTTTTTTTTTTTTAAATCTTTTGAGCCAAGAAGTGGGCTCGCTAGTGAGGCCGCGGCGTGGCCATGCCACTGCCCCACACGCACACGCCCGTCCACCGGCAGCGCGCGCTCACCTCTGCCCAGGACGCGCCCTCTCTCCAAGTGCCGCCGCGGAACCGTGAACGTGTAGCTCTCGGCGCCAAAACCCGGACTGCAAGGCTCCGGCTCCTCACAGAGCCACGAGGAAACCTGCGGTGGAGGAAAGGTATGGAACCGGGGTGACCTGGGGGGTCGCCTCCCGCGCACCCTGAAACCTTCGACGCTCACGGCGTCGAGACAGCGGGAGGAGTGACCCCAGCCCCGGCAGACACCCTCTCCCACCCCAAAACTTGCGGCCGCCAAGCCCCCCAGGAACTCCCGAGAAGGGAGCTGCTGGGTCACCTCTTCCTTATTTCTCATTTCATGGGATGTGTCTTTACTGTTCACGATTCCATTTTCCTTATACTGGAACTCCTTAATCTAATTTCTTATACAGAGGGGCGCCCCAACTCCTTTTGACCCCCTCCTTATCCCAGGGGCTCCCCTATTTCTACGCACTGCCTTTTCTTTACGTGGGAGGTGCCTTGATTTCTATGGATGCCCTTTTCCTTACTGTGCTTCACCTGAAGACTTCGGGACTTCCACCGAGGCGTCCCTTCTCCGTGTCCCAGCTCCCAACTGGCTTCACGTCCCCACTGCCTGGCCCAAGCCCATACCCGGACCAACACGGAGTCCCGGAGCCTCAGCGAAGTGCGCCCCCCAATTCGGGTCTTTGAGGGCGGAGGCGAGCAGAGCCGCGCTCCATCCACTTCAGCCCTCCCACCTCGGTGGAGGGCTGAGCTGGGCGCGCGCGGCGCAGCTCGCAGGCTCTTCCCGCCCTTCAGATCCCAACTTTCTCTGAAGGAGAACGGTGCGAGAGAAGAGCGCCCGCAGAGCCCGAGTGCGGAGCGCAGCCGGAAGGCGTCCTTAAGTCAGGTGAGCCGACGTACCTGCAGCAACAGCAGGATCGCGAACAGGCTGAGGTGGTGCGGGCCCATGGCGGGCCGGACTGGTGCCGAGCCGAGGCGAGGGTCGGGCGGGGCGGGACTGGGCTAGTCTGGTAACCCTTCCGCAGACTCACAGGTGCTCCTGGGCTCCGGGCGCCACTGAGTGGAGCAGCGTCGCGGCCTCCAGGTGAGCCCTGAGGGCACCGCCCCCAGCGCCACTGATTGGCTGAGGATACACCTGGCCCGGCCACAGCCAATAAGCGGCGTGGGCGGCCGGCAGCGTCCTCTGCCGGGCAAGGCCGGCGCCTGGGCCGAGGCTCCTCCCACGGCCCAGCCCTTCGGCCCGGAACCGACCCTGTGACCCGCTGCGAAGAGATTTCCAAGATCAGCTTAGGGTGTGGGAGCTACGTGATTATGATTCTCCTTAAAAAAAAAAAAAAAAAACACCAAAAACCCAAACTCGTTGCTGTGGAGTCGATTCCACCCCAGAGATCCTATAAGGCAGAGTAGAACTGCCCTATAGGGTTTCCAAGGCTGTAATCCTTAGGGAAGCAGACTGCCACATCTTTCTCCTGCACAGTGGCTGGTGGGTTCAAACATCCTACCTTTTGAGTAGCAGTCCAGTGCTTAAACATTGCTCCAACTAGGGCTGTTTCCAATTCGCACTGAGTTCAAATCCTAGCCCTACCAGCGACTCACTAAGACCTGGGTCAGAAGAGACCCCTTGGATGAACTTGGAGGACATTATGCTGAGTGAAATAAATCAATCACAGAAGGACAAATATTGTAGTAGTTCATTATTGTAAAAAGTCAAGGAAAAGTGTATATATGGAAGGAAACTTTCTTTGTTGGTTACCAGGGATGGGAGGGGAGGCAAGAGAACACTGCAAAAAAAAAGAAAGAAAGAAAGAGTCGCTGCTGCTGTGTGCCGTTGAGTCGGCCCCACTCATAGTGACCCCTCCTTGGGTTTCCGAGGCAGTATCACTACGGAAGTAGATTGCCCCATCTTCCTTCCGAGGAGTGGCTGGTGGGTTTGAACCACCAGCCTTCTGGTTAGCAGTCAAGTGCCTTAGCCACTATGCTACCAGAGCTCTGAAATAGTTACTATGGGGGAAAAAAAAAAAGAAAGGAGGTTCTTAATGCCACACTCTCACTACCTTCTGTGCAGAATTATGTCCCCAGTAAAATAATCTAGTTACATCTTTTTAGCTGCAGATCTCCATTGGTTAGTGAGTCATCAAACTGATTCACAGGATCAAGGCCACCTCCCCCCAAAGGCTCAATTTCTGCACCTTCCAAATAGGAATAATAACAACAAACATCTGGCTATACTGTGGGGTTCCCATACAATTCATAAGTTTCCTGCACCATAAAAGCTCTGTACAGATGTGAGAGGTAATCACAGTAACACTAGGTGCTGGGCGTTGAAGGTCGCTATTCCAGGCTTTGTGCTAAATATTTGACCATCTCACTTAACGCATCTCAAAACAAACCAAAGTCTGTATCATTACTCCCGTTTGATAGATGGGACAAACAATGCACAGAAAGACTGAGGCCAGTAAGTGGCAGAGGACTGGAACCTACCTCCCTCTGATTCCAGAGTCCTTGCTTTTAACCAGTATCCTTCACCTCATGTGGTCCCCGTCTTCCACCTGGAGCTGCGGTTTTCAATCTGTTAATCTTGACATGGAAGAGAGCCTGAAACTAGAACTCAAGAGCTCCTGCTCCCCAGAGTAGGGTTCTGAATGCCATACCACAGCTTTCTCTGGAGAATTCTGTCCCCAGTAAAATAATTTTAGGATCAAGAAAATAATAGGCAAATGTTAGGTCAGACAGCTTCCATTTCCTGTATCCAGCCACAGCCAGGGCTTGCAGTTTGATTCCCCTATCTCACCTCCCTCCCTTAAAACCCACCCCTTTAAAGACCTATTTTTTTCCTTTATTCTCCAAGCAGGGATAGAACTACCAAGTAGTATGTGGAGTCAGGTGCTCACTAGCTGTGTCACCTCAGCCCAGTCAGTATTATCTGTATAACCAAACCCATTGTAGAGTTGATTCTGACTCAGTAAAACTGCCCCATAGAGTTTTCAAGGCTATAATCTTTTTTTCTTTTTTCCTCTATTTTTTCTTTAGGGTAACTAAAGGGCCATAGTTTCAGAGATTCTGCCAGTCTCTATCAGACCAGTAAGTTTGATCAATTTTATGATTTTGAGTTTTGTTCCACATTTCTGTTCCAATCTATCCAGGACCTTCAATTGTCATCCCGTTCAAAGCAGTCAGCAGCAGTAGCCAGGCACCATCTTGTTGTTCTGGTCTCAGGGTCTTCTGGTCACTGAGGTTCACAGGGTCCATTAGTCCTTTGGATTAATTGTTTCCTTATATCTTTAATTTTCTTCACTTTTCTTTGCTTTGGATGGATGGGGAGAGATCAATAGTTGCATCTTAGATGTTCAGTTACAAGTTTTTAAGACCCCAGTTGGTACTCATCAAAGTAGGATGTAGAACATTGTCTTTGTGGACTTTGTTATGCCAATTGACCTTTGTGTCCCCTGATATATGGTCCTGAGCCCTCAGTCCCAGCAACTCACTCCCTCAAGGTGCTTTGGTTATGGCTAAGATGTTTCATAACTTTGTCCCAAAGCTGTAGTCTTTACTGAAGCAGACTGCCACATCTTTCTCTTGCAGAGCTGCTGGTGGATTCAAACTGCCCACCATTTGCTTAGCAACTGAGCCAAGCCCTTAACCACTGTGCCATCAGTGCTCATCTGTACAAATGGATTGAAATGAGCTAATGCAAGAAAATCTCTAAGCAGAGTCCTTGGCACATAGTTATAACTGCTCAATAAATGTTTAATGTGAAAGTTGTTCTGAAGGATCACTCCCCTCCTCCCCTCCCTCATTGGGAAGGCCAGATTCGGAATATTTTACCTCATGCAAAAGGTAAATCTGAGCTTGTTGAGAGTACCTTCTCCGAGAAATCCAGTCGCCCAGGCCACCCTCTGTTCCCTTGGTTTTAATGGGTTTCCGAGCACACGCCCAGGCCATTTGGATTTCTGCATCTTGGCTCTCTGCCTCTTAACCCACCAGGAGGCTCAAAGGAACAGGCTTCGGTATTTCCTTTCCCACTGAGGCTCCTGTTGGATTGTGCATTAAACAAGATAATGGAAATACAGAAAGAGGCGTTTCCCCCATGGGGCAGCCTTGCCAGTTTATTTATTTTTTTTCTCCCAGTTATGTAAAAATACATATTTTATACCATCACTTGGCCCAGGGAGCCTTTAGGGTTTTGCTTTCTTCCACCCAGCAAGCCCTGGCCTTGCAATTCTGCAGTGAGTCTCATCAACTCTTCCATTACACTCTGATAATTCAATAAAAAAGATTTTAGAAAACAATTAAGGGCAGTGAGGACAGGTTGGACCTGATGTTCTCTTCTGACTTCTCGGCAGGTCTGACTCTTTCTGGAAGCTCCAGGGATCGGGTCCTGAAAAATGGTCCCCCTTAGCTGTCCAGGGTCAGGAGGGAACACAATAGGTTACTTTGGAGTCGGGATAACGTGTGACTTTGGGCAACACAGTGAATTGCCTCAGCTTCCTCCTGTATCATAGGATATCGACACTTTCTTGTGAAGATCAAATGAGCCAATACAGGTAAAGTAATGAGTTATGCTGTGGATTGCCTTTGGTGTCAAGCTGACCAAACCTGAAAACCAAACCTGTTGCTGATTCGGATTCATGGCGACCCCACATGTTAGAGCAGAATTAGAGACTTGAGCTCTGTACAATTTTCTTGGCTGTAATCTTCTGCTGAGTCAATGGGTGGGTACCATTCACCAACCTTTTGTACAAAAGATGCAAATTCCAGTTTTGCCACCAGCTGGGTTGGATAAAATCACTTTATTGCTCAACGTCTAGGTTTCCTCACACCTAAAATGGGGAAGACCAGTTAATACTACAATTATTCAAATTTATACACCAACCACCAAAGCCAAAGATGAGGAAATGTAAGATTTTTACCAACTTCTGCAGTCTGAAGTTGACTGAACGTGCAATCAAGATGTGTTAATTATCACTGGTGACTGGAATGCAAAACTTAGAAACAAAGAAGAATCAATCAGTAGTTGGAAAATACAGCCTTGGTTAGAGAAATAATGCTGGAGATCGCATGATAGAATTTTGCAAGACCAATGACTTATTCATTGCAAATATCTTTTTCAACAACACAAACAGTGGCTGTACATGTGTATTTCTCCAGATGGAGTACAAAGGAATCAGATTGACTACATCTGTTGCAAGAGGCTATGGGGAAGCTCAATATCTTCAGCGAAAACAAGACTAGGAGCTAACTGTGGAACAGACCATCAACCACTCATGTGCAAGTTCAATTTGAAGCTGAAGACAATTAACAGAAGTCCATGAGAGCCAAAATATGACCTTGATTATATCCCTGCTGAATTTAGAGACCATCTAAAGAATAGATTTCATGCACTGAACACTAGTGACCAAAAACCAGAGGAATTGTGGGATGACATCAAGAACAAAATCCATGAAGAAAGCAACTCACTGACATCGAGTCAGTCCTGACTCATAGTGACCCCTCCTTGGGTTTCTGAGGCAGTATCTCTATGGAAGTAGATTGCCCAGTCTTCCTTCTGAGGAAGCAAAAGTTCATTAAAAAAGACAGGAAGGAAAGAAAAGACCAAAATAGATGTCAGAAGAGACTCTGAACTTGCCCTTGAGTGGAGAGTAGCTAAAGCAAATGGAAGAAATGACAAGACAAAAGAGCTGAATAGAAGATTTCCAAGAGCAGCTCAAACAGACAAACTCAATTATGATAATGAAATGTGCAAAGACCTGGAGTTAGAGAACCAAAAGGGAAGAACACGCTCAGCATTTCTCAAGCTGAAAGAACTGAGGGAAAAATTTAAGCCTCGAATTGCAATACTGAAAGATTCCATGGGCAGTATGTTGAATGATTCAGGAAACATCAAAGGAAGATGGATGAAATACAGTTTCTACACCAAAAAGAACTGGCAGATAGATGATCATCCATTT